GATTTGGAAAGAATGTCAGAGGTAAAGTATATCTTTTGAGTGAATACGTGCACAACATTTTATTTTATTTTGTTTTGTTTTTATTTTTTTTTGCACACAGTTATTTTAGATCAGTGCTACTCAAAGTGTGGACCCAGGTCAGTTCTGCCCCAGCAACTGTTACTGGCCTGTGACAAGATAAGTACTGAAATTTTGAGTAAGCCTTGAGAAACTTTTAAAGAAATTTGACAGTAATTTTATGCCTATTGAATCTAATAATAATAATAATAAACTGGGCTTCCATTTTGTGCACTTAAAAAAACTCATTTTCTTATAATTCATTTTTAATATATTTTGCAGAAGTATCAGTACATGATAGACTGGAAATATTAATTTAAAAATGGTTCTTCGTCACAGATTGTTTGAGAAGCACTGACTGAGATCCTAAAGATACAGATTTTAAATATGTCATTTACTGTAATGAGAGATGTCTGAGTTTTAAAATACTGCATTCTATGATGAATGGTTTGTTTCAAGGGCATGGTGGGTTTGTAGTGTGGCCAGATCTTTACCTAAATATAAAACCTACCACTAGACAGCAATGTCATTCAACAGTGGCTCTGTCAGATGCTTGTAAGTGTTCATAGAGAAGACTAGCCAAGAAATGGGCCTCTAAACGTCCAGAAAGTTTCAGTGATGTGTACTTGTCTATTTTTTCATTTTTATTTGTCTTAAAAACAAGAACTTTATTAAAACTAGGTTAGGCATTCTCAAACCTAAACAATTTAATTTTAACCAGGCAATATTTGTTCAGTGTTCAGTATTTCTGTTGAGTGACAATAAGTCTGTCTAAATCCAAGAAACCTATAATGCCACACTCCCAGTAATTTCAGCCTATTTCCTAAATTCCCTGAATTGATTTTTTTTGAAATTATGAAGCATAATATTTATCAAGTGCTTGCATCACTCAAGGTTGTTTTAGGTAAAATTTACCTAGGCACATTATCATCTCACTTTGACTATATAAACACTGAAGCCAAAGAGGAACCTTTCAGGCCTAGAAGGAAGTTACTAATATATTATGGAACTGTCCCTGCAGCCAAAGAAAAATAATGGTTAGATTGGACTATTTTTAAGACTGTATTTGTTTAGAGCAAGTGAAGTTGCTTTTCTTTGAAAATGTTCCTTCCCAATTAAGTTTTAGATCTGCTTCCCCTACTCGCCCTCCCCTACCCATTGTTTTGTGACAATGTGTACTTTTGGAACTGCAAAAATTACTTCTGCTCTAATACCATCAAGGATTCCTTGGATGCTAGTGTGACCTGAGCTCTTACCACATGGACCACCATTTTTCTTGGATGTCTTATGGATCATAAAGTCTATTACCAAAGGAGTAATTTTTTTTTTTTTTTACAACTCGATTAAGAGCAAGATTGATATTAAAGAATTTACAATACAGGAGTAGACTTATAGTCTTAATTTATGAAGAATATAAAGTAGACTCAAGGAGAGAAATACAGACCTAGGTAAGCTAAAATTGTATACTTTATAGCTTAGGGGTAGATGGCTTGAATGTGAAATATATGCCCTGTTGGATAGTTGAGAAAAGGAAGAGAAAGCTGATATCAAACACCAACCACAGATGTGACTATAGATGGGAATGGCGTTCCTTTGGAGGATAAAGTGTAGACAATGATGTTAATGCCCTGTCTACCTCTGGGACCCAACTGTCTTCAGGGCAGAGGCCTGCTGACCGCTGGTACCTGCCTGAAGGACTATAGGTCTTCCTTGCCTGAAGGTCTCCTTTTGCCCAAAGGTTTTCTTTCTGGGCTGGGAAACCTCTTGGCTCCTGCTCGAGGCTGGCATCAAGTGCCCAGGAATTAACACTCTCCCACCCCCACACACAACAGTCTTTTTTTTTTTTTTTTAAAGATTTTATTTATTTATTTGAGAGAGAATGAGAGAGAGAGAGAGCATGAGAGGGGGGAGGATCAGAGGGAGAAGCAGACTCCCCGCCGAGCAGGGAGCCCGATGCGGGATTCGATCCCGGGACTCCAGGATCATGACCTGAGCCGAAGGCAGTCGCTCAACCGACTAAGCCACCCAGGCGCCCCACACACAACAGTCTTAACCACTGGCTGATGAACACCCCAGCTTCCCCATTTGATGGGTGAGACAGTTTGAGTTCTATTTCTACATCCCCTGTAGGCTGCTTTTGCTTCCTGTGCATCACGTTCGCACTCCCTGAACAGCGTTTTCTGAGCCTCCCAAATAAACTGCGTGGACTTGAATCTTTGACTCAGGACCTACTTCTGGAGGGAAGCACACTTAGGCATGTGGGTTCAAAAGCCGTCATGGAATTTTAAGATTGTTTTTCCAAATTGAATCTATATACTGTTTTATTGTATATCATCTTGTACTGCTAGGGATTTCTCTTCTCCATCTTTTCTATGCTCAATATGATAGATTAGGATATTTTCTCTTAAAGGAAAGAATAAGAAGAGTCTTTTAGCAGTGATGGGTAGTTGGTCTATAAAGTGTTTCCTTTCTGATTTTCCTGTCAGTGTTTCTGATATATTCTCAGCTTTATCATCCTATGCCTTCACTGTGATGACTGATCTCACTTCTGCCTCTAAATCTCCTGATTAGGAACAGAGCTGGTTCATTTTTTACTTTCACTTGCACTGAATTCTCTAATGTATCTAGACTGGACTTTCGAGAGCCACTTTCTCCTGTTAGAAAAGAATCCTGTTTTAATGAGAGTATATAGTGCAAATGTTTCACTAAAAATGATTCAAATGATGTTGATGATATAGAAATAGTATTCAGTTAGAATATTTAAAATGAATTCATATTTATCTTGCACTTACTGATTTTCTCCAGATTATATAATACCTATCACCTATAGGAAATGACAGTCTAATATTTAATCTGGTTTTCAAGAGGACAAATTAAATCTCTGGGAGTCATTCAACTGTTGACATAATTTTTTATTATAAAATTGAGATTCATCATTAAGGCCTTGAAATAAAGAATGGTTGCTAAGGTTTCATTTTGAATTAAATCTGAGTTTGATTCTCAGATTATTTTTTCCTCTTTTTTTCATATTTGAAATTTGGATACCAGTATTAGCTTCTTCAGAGAGGAGGTGGCAGGATATCTAAGTTAATAACTCATACTTCCTTAAAAAAATGATTTGGGCCATACAAATCCACTCTCTGCCTCCACATTTTAATGATAGACATTGGGAAAATCTGACTCAGTGTTTCTAGATTCTTATTATAAATTATGCAGGAATAAGACTGTTTTAAAACACCACAAAGGAGAGGTAGAATTTTTAGTGTGTCTGAATCACCTTTCCATAAAGAGATTAGCATTGATCGCATCAAATCTTACCAATAAAAATAAACACTTAAAATATTTAACTGGATCAATTTTCCTGAGGTTTGAGGTCCAGCATTTTAAAAGTCTTCCAAATTTAGCTGGATATCTTCCTAAATAGAAAACTTTTGGTGGCCATTAATCATAAGAAACATTTTATTTTTGTATCCACTTTTAATCTTTTAGCTGCTTAGCATTATTAGTTAGCATAAAATATAACAGATTTTTCTCTGTTAGACTTTTTTCTTTTTTTAAAGATTTTATTTATTTATTTCACAGAGAGAGACACAGCGAGAGAGGGAACACAAGCAGGGGGAGTGGGAGAGGGAGAAGCAGGCTTCCCGCCGAGCAGGGAGCCCAATGCGGGGCTCGATCCCAGGACCCTGGGATCAAGACCTGAGCCGAAGGCAGACGTTTAACGACTGAGCCACCCAGGCGCCCCTCTGTTAGACTTTTGTCTGTGTTAGACTGCAATATGTTTATAATCCTAACTGAATAAAACAGTTAACTCTGAGATGAGCAGGGAGCCCGATGCAGGGCTCGATCCCAGGACTCCGGGATCGTAACTTGAGCCGAAGGCAGACACTTAACCAACTGAGCCACCCAGGTGCCCCTCTCCAAAGCATCGTATCTCCTGCCCTCCTCTATTTTTCTCCTTAGTATATCACTATCTAACATACCATATATTTTACTTATCTTATTGTTGTCTCCACAGTGAGAAAGTAAGCCCCATGAAGGCAAAGATATTTTGTCCACCATATTCCCTGATGAATTTATACCACCTTATAGATAATCAATATTTGATGAATGAATTATTGAAGAAGGAGAGGTTGTGTCTATAGGGTGTGGCAACTGATATGGGGATAATGGGGAGGTAGGTATCAAAGGTGGTTTCAGGATTTCAACCTCAGATAATGGGTAAAGGAACTAGTTGAGAGGGACAGAAGGAATAAATTCCAAATTTGAGTTGCCCAAGAACATCCAGAACTATTGCATGTGGCTTTTTGCTAAGTGTTTTAAAACTGGTATAGTATGGAATATGTTGGGGTCAATCCTTGACTCAGCAAAGAGGGATCACCAAAGCCAGGTGCCTAGTCTACGCTGTCTTAGCTCTCTTGATATTATCTTTGCTCCCTTGCTGAATTACAGTTTGGTTTTATGTTTGCAGCTTTTATTGAGCTGTTGCTTGAATTCCCCATAGTTGCCGTAGTGAACATGCTCACTGCCCTTTATATAAAATCCTATTTTTTGAGAACAGTGGTTCTCAAACTTTGGCCACCTAGGAAGCACCACAAGGGCTTCTTAAAACTCAGAGCGCTGGGCCCTGGCCCACAGTATTCAAGTCAGGAGGCCTGGGGTGTGGCCTGAGTATTTGCATTTTTATTTTTAATTTTATTTATCTATTTATTTAATTTTAGTGAGGGAAGGGGGAGGGGCAGAGGGCAAGAGAGAATCCTAAGCAGGCTCCAGGCCCGGGGCGGGGCCCGAAGCGGGACTTGATCTCACAACCCTGGGATCATGACCTGAACCGAAATCAAGAGTTGGATACTTAACTGACTGAGCCACCCAGGTGCCCTTTTTAAATTGAAATTTTAATTAATTAATTTTATTCATTTAAAAAATTTTTTTTGTATTTGCATTTTTAAAAACTTCTCAGGTGA